TTTCCTCAACACCGTCGCCTTTGGCGCCTCATTAACACTTGAAACATGCATTTAAAATTTATAGCCTGATTTTATTTCTACACAGCAACAAAACACACCTCCTCTCACATTCAACTGCTTCTATTTCCAGCAAATTTCTTAACATGTGTACATATTTGTATTAACATGAAAAGATTCACCAACTGAGACACAAAATGAACAAGTTTCACAGACAATTGACGAACAGAAATGGAATTCAGTTCAATTCAATTTTATTTGTATAGCGCTTTTCACAATAGATGTTGTCTCAAAGCAGCTTTGCAGAAATATATAAATACGGTACACAAATATTAAAAGTGCGAATTTATTCCAATTCAGCGAGCCGGTGGTGAGGAAAAACTCTCTAAGATGTTAAGAGGAAGAAACCTTGAGAGAAACCAGACTCAGAAAGGAGCCCGCCCACATCTTGTTAACAATGGATAGTGTAAAAAGTTAATTATGGATTTATATGAAGTCTGTTTGGCCTTAAAAGCAGCCGTAGTCCCAGCAGTCTGGAATTGGAGTAGATGAGAGCTCCATCCAGAGGCAGGACTTCCGAATTGGATCCGGCAGGTCTGGAGAGCAGAAAGGATCAGGATATCCAGAATCTCCATAAAATCGTGTGTGGCTCGAGAGAAGGAGAGAAAAGATTAATGAATAATGAGTCCCTGAACAAAGGGGGGTAAATATTAAAAGTAACAGTCAGTATCTGGTGGCCTCCAGCTCCAGCTGTACTACAGAGCATCGCATCCTCATGGACTGCACCAGATTGGTCAGATCTTGCTGTGAGATATTACCCCACTCTTCCACCAAGGCAAGATCTCGATCACGTCTGGGGGACATGCGGTTTCGTGTAATTTTCCACTGCAAGGACGATCAGATGTCCTTCCTGTCTCCCTGTAGCACTGTCTTACATTGCGTCCAGCAATACTTTGTGTTTCTCTGCGTTGTTACAAACAGTGTATTTCAGTGAGGTGACAGTGTCCAGTCATCATGGACCATAAAAATACACACATAAAGAAACTATTATACTCCCAACAAAAACAAAAAGGAAAAATCCATTAATAGTCAGTAAACATGCACTTGGAACTGAATTACCAAGTAGTTTTGTTTACGACAGATGTTGCACCTACTAGGGGAAAGGTACAAGTTTTTAGCTGTAACTAATGTTAAAACTATGTTACTTGTCGTAACTGTTCATTTTTATGGTAGGTCATAAACTCGAGGGCAACGACCATTTATATTCAAACAGAGCTACGAGAGAGCGTACCTTCTAAAGATGCAACCAGCTGCAGTTCATTAAATAAAAGTGAATCAACAGTTAAAATTAAAAAATATCTTGGCTTTTAGTGTCTTTAAAGTCTACATTACATTTATTCACTAGGCAGATGCTTTTTTTTTTCCTTTTCCCCCTCTAGGAGTTGGTTAGGTGTTCACGGAAGAGGTGGGTCTTTAGCTGTTTTTTGAAGATAGTGAGAGATTCTGATTGAGATCGGAAGAGCATTCCACCACTGGGGAACGGTATGTGTGAAGGTTCTGGAAAGAGACCCTACGCCACGCTGAGTGGGAACTTCTAAACGTTGGTCGCTAGTCGATGGCAGATTCCGAGAGGGAACGTAGGCCTTCAGGAGAGAGTTGAGGTAGGAGGGTGCTGTTCCTGACAAGGTCTTGTAGGTGAGCATCAAGGGCTTGAACTTGATGCGGGCAGCTACAGGAAGCCAGTGGAGGGAGATGAAGAGAGGTGTGACATGGGTTGTCTTGGGCTGGTTGAAGACGAGGCGCGCTGCAAAGTCATAGAAGGTTTCTTTTCAAATCATGTGTCCGTTACAGAGATTATGTCCAGGTCATCTTGACTGCAATTTATGAATGACTGGAGTTTGTTAAAATGGCCACACCTGCCATCACGACAATCCAGATTATTTCAGTCATTTTGTGACTATAACATGTAAATAATATTGATTTGATTTACAATTAAGTTCCATTTGGTACTGTCACGTATCTGGAATATCCATTTCCCATCAGCCACTGCACTGCACCACATGACCACATGCACCACCACATGCACCTGATTCACGTTTTGGTTAATGAGCACTCATGTGTTTATCTAGTCCTTGTCTGCACTGGTTTCTGGTCTTTCGTTGTCGTAGACTCATGTCATTTATGTCTCGGTATTTTGTCTCATGCCACAGTGTTTTGCCAAGTGTCTTAGTGTCTTGTTTTGTAGTCTGTTAGTTTATATTAAAAGTTATTGTCTGCACTTGCTTCTGCCTCAACCGTGATCCGTGACCGGTACTATAAAAATAAACTGCAAACAGTTTGTAAAAAAAAAAAACGTCTAGAAAGAACGACAGGGGACGCAGTAGTTTAGTGGTTTTCACGTTTGTCTCACACCTCCAGGGTCTGTCCTGTGTGCGTGGACTTTGCATGTTCTCCCTGTGCTTCGGGGTTTTCTCTGGATACTCCAGTTTCCTCCCTGAGTTGAAAGCCATGCCTTGTAGTCTCTAAATTGCCCATAGAGCTCTTAAAATTTAATCTGTGCGACCTTGAAATTTATTTGGGAACATTTTTGCGAGAGCAGATAACTGTCGTGGTGCGACCTGTTTTCATTTCTTTACAAAACGTTCGCTAATTACTGCACGTGCCTTTTGTGAGCCGATACAGTGACCGGCCGACCGTTCTCTCCAACGTTATATAACCAGGTAAACCTCATCTTTACATTCTTAACTTTAATGCAGATTTGAGATCGGTTCAGATTAGCCGTCAATCACTCAGTTTCACTGTGCTCCGTTGTCATGTGACCGGCAGCTAACTAGCGCACAAAATGGAAAGAGCTGAAGAGAGAAGAAAAGAACACTGAGAGATTTCTTTTGTAAGCTGCCTAAAGTTACAGATAATATAACTCCTGGAGTTGGTGATGGCGATCATGTGGTCAATGCGGACCAGCAACGGAAAAGAAGGCGTACAGTTTTCGGAGAGAGTGGCTGAAAGACTTCGAGTCACTCTGCTATGAAAATGGCTCAATGCACTGCGCTCATTGTAAAGTGCCTGTGGGACAGAGGTATGGAGGCAAATCCATGCCAAAAATCTGAGTGCGTTATTGAAGCTTGCATGCACAAGCGCATATATAATTATATACACGATAATGTGCAAAAGTTTTTGCCACCCCATTTTTTTTAAATAAAAAAATTCGTCTTTATTTTATGATTTCTGTTAAATAATGTGTGACAGGCAAATTCTCCAGAAGAACTGTGGTAGCATGTGCAAGATGCTCAGTGAAACGTACCAGCAATTATTTTTAAAGCAAAGGGTTGTCACCCCAAATATTGATTTGCTTAGTCAATTACTGTTTTTGCTGCATATTTTCTTTACAGCATCTCTTAACATGTGCCCAGGACTTTTTTGCACAGTACTGCATACATTACAGACATTAACATATTTACTTGTATGTTTTTTTTATATATATATATATATATATATATATATATATATATATATTTTATATATATATATATATATATATATATATATATATATATATATATTCACTCTCTCACACTCTCAGCATGGTATTCTCTCATACCGTAAATATATGAAATGTTTGTATGAAAAATCTCAGCTCTCAGTGCAGCTGTTGTCAATAATTATGGCAAACCGTTAGTGAATTCCTCATGGTAGAAAAGTAAATTAAACCGTTTTCTATAAAATCTTCTTCTTGTCTCTATCCACTTGTTTATGAAGAGCAGAGGAAATCTGCATTCAGTCTGTCTGCACCAGGGGCATTATGGCAGTGATTTACACCAATCATCTTTAAGCATAATTCATATTGACGTCAGCTACTAATGGTGTTATTATGATTAACTGTTTGGCAGGAAAAAAAGGACGCAAAAGAAAACAGCTGTGAGTGTAGCAGTCCGTGCAGAGGGAAAAGTTGGGCAGTTTTTGAAAACCTTCCAAGAAAAGTAGTATTTCAGACGACGATGCCAGGCGCAGTGTTCTCGATGTTTCCTGCTTGATTTTCTGTGAGCTCTTTTTCCAAGAACTTCATGATGCAGAGAAAGCAGACTAAATACGTGTGACTTTTAACAGCCTCCATATTCAACGTGACTTAATGACTAAATGACCAGCCAATCTGACAAAGCACACGCCTGTTAAAGTAGAACTCGACGAAGTGCAACCACTTGAAAATACCACAAGGCTCTGAGAAATCAGATGTGACACGAATCTACTAGATTCACACTAGGAGCCGAGTGTTGTTTTGGTTTGCTAATATGGTAGGTTTGTTTCTGTTGAATGATATTGATATTTGATTCTTTTTCCTCCCCCACATTCCATTATTTTAATTTCATTCCAAATCTGCAGATATTTTCTAGCATGGGAGAAGATTTAATTAATTAGTCTAGCAAGGCTAGGGTTGACATTATTCAGTAAAACTGCAGTTATCTTTTAAATAATCCTGTTATCATTTTTGGTAATCAGATCTTTTATTAACAATGATTGTAAAAATGATCAAATCAAAACTCTAAACATCCTCTCAGAAACTCTTATTGCCAAATGCATTGTAATAATTGGAGTGATCTAGTTGATGGCTCAGCTTTGCTCTCCCCAGCCTAATTCCATTGTACATGGTTACTTTGATTAATTTCATTCATTGTGTATGATGAAAATAAAGCTATTCTATGCCACAACAAAGTGTCTGAATAATTCTGACCCCTTGTCCTAAAATGGTTTCATTATTATATCCATCTTACTCCTTTTCAGAGTCACGGGGAACCTGGAGACTATCGCAGGAATCATCAGGCACAAGGCAGGGTACACCCTGGACAGGGTGCCAGTCCATCACAGGGCACAATCACACACAAACCCATTCATACACTACGGACACTTTAGACACGCCAATCAGTCTACCATGCGTGTCTTTGGACTGGGGGAGTACCCGGAGGAAACCCCCGCAGCACGGGGAGAACATGAAAACTCTGCACACACAGGACCACGGTGGGAATCGAACCCCGGACCCTGGAGGTGTGAGGCGAACGTGCTAACCGCTAAGGCACTAAGGCGCCCTTCATTATTATATATACTGTAATACTGTATACTGTGTATAAGTGAATTCCCTGTGAAGTTTATGGGTTTGTTTGGCATTTCGTATCAATTATTCAGAGCACTATATATACACTGTATATACATATACAGTGGTGCTTGAAAGTTTGTGAAGCCTTTAGAATTGTCTATATTTCTACATAAATGTGACCTACATCATCAGATTTTCACACAAGTCCTACAAGTGGACAAAGTGAACTCAATTAAGACATGAAAAGGACATGGAAACCTTTGCACTTCTTGAAAATGGACAGCAAGCAAGCCCCTGACAGGTGTGCAACACAGCAGCTTCCCTTTGGATTAATTGATTGCTTTTCCAATTAAATGACATAAAGATTATCACAAGGTAAGACTTGCCTATATTGTTATTGTTTGTTCATTTATATAACAGCATTTTTCCAATGGCTGATGAACACAAGCCTTCAGATATGTCACGCATGTATATAATAATGCTGGCTTGGTGTGTTTAGAGGTGAATTGTGATATTTGCTGCTGCAGCAAATTCTGATGCAGGAATGAACAGAAAATGTGGTGTTTGATGCTGTCATGTGGATAGTAAAGAGAGAACCTAATCAAAATGACTTCTGTTTTTCATGAGTCTCTGTCTTCAAGTCCAAGTCTCGAGTCAGTTGTTCACGAATCCAAGTCATGTCTCAAATCATTTTTTTTTTGTGACTTAAGTGTGACTCAAGTCCAAGCCACACTTCCGGGTTTCCATCTCGTGTGTGTGTGTGTGTGTGTGTGTGTGTGTGTGTGTGTGTGTGTGTGTGTGTGTGTGTGTGTGTGTGTGTGTGTGTGTGTGTGTGTGTGTGTGTGTGTGTGTGTGTGTGTGTGTGTGTGGGTGTCTGTGTGTGTGTGTGTGTGTGTGTGTGTGTGTGTGTGTGTGTGTGTGGTGTGTGTTGTGTGTGTGTGGGTGTCTGTGTGTGTGTGTGTGTGTGTGTGTGTGTGTGTGGGTGTCTGTGTGTGTGTGTGAGTGTGTGTGGGTGTGTGTGTGTGTGTGTGGGTGTCTGTGTGTGTGTGTGTGTGTGTGTGTGTGTGTGTGTGTGTGTGTGTGTGTGTGTGTGTGTGTGTGTGTGTGTGTGTGGGTGTGTGTGTGTGTGTGTGTGTGTGTGTGTGTGTGTGTGTGTGTGTGTATATATAATGTATATGTAATATTCTGATGAGCTGACCAGTGATATGAATCATCGATTATCTCGTTACAATGTCACCGGTCAAAAGGCAGCAATATTAGGCAGGAAATGAACAGCCAGTTCTCAAAGTTGATTTGTTGAAAGAGGGAAAAATGGGCAAGGATAGGAATCTGAGTGACTTTGACAAGGGCCAAATTGTGATGGCTAGATGACAGCACTTCTTGTTGGGTGTTCCCGTAATGCAGTGGTTAGTACCTACCAAATGTGGTCTAAGGAAGGACAACCGGTGAATTGGCGACAGAGCCATGGGCACCCAAGGCTAGCTGGTCCAGTCCCACAAAAGAACTACTGTAGCACAAATTGCTGAAAAAGTTCATGCTTGGCAGGTGGTTTTAATGTTATGGCGGACCGACGTATACAAATAAAGTGAAAAACTATCAAACATTTATGGGGGGGAAAAAAAGAAAATGTGAAACCCCCCCCCCAATAGCCTAGTTACATAAGTGTGCACAACCCTAAACGGATGCTTTGTTGAAGCAACTTTTGATTTTATTACACCTCTCAGGCTTTTTAAGAGTCTATCAGCGTGGCACAGCTTGACTAGGCAATATTTTCCCACACTTTCTTGAAAAAACTTTCTAGGTGCATTAAATTGTGAGGGCATCTCCTGTGCATAGCCCACTTCAGGTCACGCCACAGATGTTTAGTTGGATTCAGGTCTGGGCCCTGGCTAGGTCATATAAAAACTTTGATCTTACTTTGGTTAAGCCATTTATTAGTTGATTTGGATGTATGCTTTGGATCATTTGTTGTTCTGAAAGGTGAAAATCCTTTTCATCTTCAGCTTACTAGCAGACCCCTAAGGTTTTGCACTAAAATCAACTGCTATTTGTAGCTGTTCATGATTCCCTACACTTTGATAAAACCTGCAGTAATGGCATATTTCTGGCATAATTCTCCCATATATGTGGGAATTTGGTCATGCTGAGTTGGCAACCAAAACCTAAACTAGGATCAAACAAAGCTTAGAAACAGTAGTGAAGTAGTACAAAGCAGAACTAAAATGTTAATCAATCATGTTAATCCCAATGAGTCAAGAAAGAGGGACTAAAAGTTTCCAGTAGAATGATGGGAATTATCCGAATGAAAGAGCTTTATCTACAGAGCACACACCAAACAGATTGTCAAGCCCGAGCCTGTTTGCCTGTTTCTTGGCAAAACGTCACTGTAAATAAAAGTAAGTCACTAAACCTCTGATATACATACCTATACATATACAATAAACATTCATTTCATAAGCCAGCTCTTGGGAAATGTCTGTGCAACATGTTACGCGGTTTTAAAATGGCAGTCAGTGATGATTTTCTCATTTATTTTTCGCAAAGATCCATTTTTACTCATATCAGTGATTTACCATCTTTCTTCTCCCCTGATCCAAATAGCTCGAAACTACACATGACTGTATAAACATTATAAAGATTTGATCTCATCTCAGAAAGCCAGGTGAACCTTTTCGTTAATGACAGACTTAGGTGAACTTTTAATTCGTCACATGCTTAACCCACATGGGTTTCTCAGGCAATGGGAAATTTAATGGTGTTTAATCTGTTGGTCTGGCCTCCTGTTTAATTCTAAATGTAAAAAAAAATGTGCACTTACATCCAAAGCGCTTTAAACTGTGAGCAACTTGGGGTTCAGTGTCTTGCCCAAGGACACTTCGGCATGGGGAGTCACCCAGGCCAGGAATCGAACCGCCAACCCTACGATTAGTGGACAACCCACTCTACCAACTGCACCACAGCCACCTCAGTCTCTTCTCTTAAATAAGAGCAAAAAAATGTTTTTTTTCAAAAATTAGCCAGTTTAGCAATGCATAAATTAACAGTGTCTGCTGTGTCATGCTATAAATCAGCTAAGCTGCTAACTAGCTAGCTAAATGTAACTAAAGAAGGTAGTGGCCGTTATCTATCTAGTTAGACCTAAAAATGAATGCCTATTTGTACGTGATCGACACTGTGTTTAGATCTGTAGAGGCTGCTCGCAAGAACCTAACTGCCTTCCAAGCTACTAATGAAGACACCAACAAACATGATATCAGATGCTTTCATTTGTCACCAGGCTCGTAAGGTGTTCGTGAAGAACGTTTACATGTCACCCAGCTAACATGACAGTTAAGAATAGTAACAGCGTTTTGCACTAAAAGCAAAGAATATGGTTTAAAAGTGCCTATTAAATTTTTATTTGATAATGCTGTGGTGATGAGTCAGTTTTGTTTCATAAACCTCCAGGCAGGTTGTGTGGTTCTGCTATGTGGATTTGGTGTGCAATACAGCGCTACACTTGTCCCTAATACGATGACGTGTTCATTCTGAATGCAGCAGCCCGTGTCCTTGCTGAGGCAGGAATATGTTTTTCTTATGCTTATACGATATGTCTTTCCTCACCCCCTAAACTCCATAATAGTCATATATATCCACTAAAATATATACCATTTTTTTTTACTAGACTGTTTTTTTGTTGAATATGTAAAAGTACATTTATTCATTTTGTCCATTGTTTCTGTTTAACTGCGACAGGGTACAGTGTAATCTAAGCAGATGTAAGCAATTGATGGTATTCTGGCAGTCTTTTAATTTTAACTTGATACCTTCCCATCACTGGTTCAGAGCCTTAACCACTGAGGTACCACTGCATCCTTAAAATGGAAACTGAATTGGAGAGAATATATAGTCAGACAAAATGGCAAAGCGAGAACCCAGCAGACATGGCACAATAGACATGGGTGGAACAAGCTGTTAGGGTTTTAGTGCCATGCAAAACAAAAATGTGGAAGTACTGTGGTCAAAATAACAAAATGATTAGCCGTTAGAGACGTTAGTTGTATCATTATATACCCACCCACTCAGTCCTTCCCGGTACTGTAAGTGTAACCTCAAGGGGAGGGAAAAATATTACATGAATTCATTTACACTCAAGTTGGAATCTTAATTCAAATAATTAGCCATATCGGGCTGCATATGTCTTTAGATAAAGTTTATCTCTCTCCTGACGATCTGCACTATTTACACCGAGTTGCACACACACACACACACACTTTATTCTTTCCAGGAGGTGCAGTAGCTGTCCAGTGGCCTGGGTCACTCCTTCTCCTGTCTTCAAGTCATGCTCAGCCATGATCCACGCCAGTGCTCTTAACAAGAGCTCCCTATTTTCCTGTTTCTTTCAATCCGTCCTCATGCCATTGATCCATCATTACTGACCCACCCACTCCAGTCTTCCCAGCATCCCATGCTGTCATCTAATTGTACCCCCGGTGAGATGCCCTGGCAGACGTATGGACACACGTTTTTCATTTTTCGCTTCACATACTGTAGACTGATGATGATTACTATTGATGACTTGCTACTATTTATATTGCAGGCTGCATCTGTAACGTGGCAAACCTGCTGGCATCGCTTACTAACGGCCTGTTTTAATCCCAGTGCAGAAAATCACCACTATGACTGTGCATTCTGAGCAGAAGGATTAGATTACGATGGCTAGATTACTATTTAGAGTTGAGTATTTTAACTTGCCTTGCCATGTCTCGTACAAATTCATCCTTTTCTGATTCCTGCACTTATGATCCTCTAACTTACAGTTCCTTACTCCATAATGATACTGTACCCTGGAGTGCAGTTATGATATGCGATGGGTTTATTATTGACCTGAATTGTTGTTCAGGGGTTGTTTTTGTTCTTTTGAAACATTTTCTCCTTGGTTCTTGTGTCATGGAATACTTAATACTCTAAAGCACCATAAAACAGTCACCTGCTACTTAATGCCCTTGCCTT